TGGCGGTGAACCTTGAAGTGGACTGGAAGTTCTTCTGGTCCACTTCCAGGTCTGCTGGGGAGCATGCTGGGGGTCCCCCCCGAACTGCCTGGCTCAGTGATCAGCCGTGGGGGGACCCCCAGGTCTGCTGCTGAGAGCGCTGGGGAGCCCCCTGTGCTTCTGTGAGATGCTCCGTGCACCCTAGCATCACAGCAGTCACGAGCCCCTGTTACCTAGAGGTATGTAGAAAAAACATTTAAAGCTGTCTCTATGTCCAAATCTCTGAATCTTTCCGAATCTCTCTGAATCAATTCAGAGGGTTCTGATTCGATTTGGAGGGATTAAAGGGTTCTCTGATTCAATTTGGATTTGGAGATTTGGCCACTGATTCAAGCTGAATCTCCACCAAATTGAATAAGGGACTGAAGCTTCACACAGCCCTACCATATATCCTGTGCTGCATGTCATCCAGGCTGAGGAAATGCAGTAACGTTTCATTAAATTGCATGGTTAAGGTATAAACTGCTTAAAGTAATGGTCTACCCTTGCATCAGAAGCTGAAATTCTGTAGATAAGTGGCTGAAATAGAACTATTAAAATTATAATGATAGTGACAGACTGCTTTTTAGCTAAGCTTCTTGAAGCACTTTACAGATATTAAGAGCTTTGTGTGTCAGGTGCGGAAGACAGAGAGATGCAAGGAACTTCTTCCTCTTTCATATGGAAGGCCCAGGAATTGGATTAAGGGTAGATAAAGACTTCATTGAACTAAAGAGACAGGTTGCCCATTGTGCCAGTGAACTGGGCTTAGTAATAGAGCTGGGACCAGAGAGAACAATTTGTATCAGCCAGGATCCCCAAGAGGAGCTCTTGTATTCAGTCCCACTTTCCAGCTGTATACCGCAACTCCATTACCTACCCCTGTGCCGCTCCTACCTTCCCATCAGTGTAGGCCCAGGCACATGTGCGCGCGCGCACGCACACACACACACACACATAACCTCCCTCCACCCCCACCGACAGAGAAGTCCCAGTCTAACAGACACTAAAGTTTGTTGCATTAGGGCTACCATTGGAATCCGGTCATGGGAAGCAGCTGCTTCTGGAGTATCACTGCTAAAGGTGACTCCTGGGCAGAGCAGTGGACTCTAGTGAGGGGCAACTGGGGAAGTTCATGGAATCTGCTGTGAAGATGAAGAGAGCATGTATAAGGGCATCTGGGTGATAACAAGTCTGAATGATGGCTCACCAGGCTGTTAATGTTGCCTTAGTTGGTGATTTCCTTACATTGTTAATGTTGTATTTGAAAGGCGAGACCCTTGCACTTAATCATCCCTGAGCATTCTGTGGGAATATAAACTACAAAATTACCTAAAAGCTTCCTAAATATATTTTGCTCCCTGAGAGCTATTAGATGATCATAAATACAGTACATTTTTCCCCACTTATTTTTTAAATCCATCAGTAAATCCTTTCCAGAAGTTTTGCTTCCTTCTGTAAGGTGAATGGTTTTATAGTCTTAATGTAATGTTGGCTCCTGAACTTTAAATCACCTGCTGATCATGCTGATCTAGTTTGCTGCTTTCAGGCAGCACACCGAGACCATGTGATTTCATCTTGTTTAGAAACTGGCACAAGAGTAAGATCAGAAGTACTTGAGTCCTCTTTTATCTAGAGCCATGGGAAAATATGTGCAATTCTCAAGTGTAATTTTATCCCCTCATTACCCTAGAACCACCAAGGCTAGATAAGTGAGAAATATGTCATGTACCATGTTAAAAGAAGAGTATGTCATGAGAAAGCCTTTAGCCATGTCCTTCTTGCAAAAGCAGGTGTGTTTTTTTAAGTGATATAACTAATGGGTATTAGCTATCTCACTGCAAAATCCCAGTAAAGACAAGGCACTGAAGTTCTTCCTGTGATGTTAGTGAATGGTGAATGAAGCATACATGCCTTTCCTAGCTAATTAACTTGTTCTGTTTTCTATATCAGGATCTTACAGCAAGATAACTAACTCTTGTAAAAACAAAACAACCTCCCTCTCACCCCCTACTCTGCAGTTAAGGCAGAGACTTTGAGCAGAAGGTGTGTGGATAACATGTTTCCAAGGAAAGCTGTCCAGTGGGTGTTCTTACTTCTACTGCATTCATCATGTCTCCTGTTCTTTGCTTTGTTCTGTTGTCTAATCTTGCTCTCATTGAAGTCCATGGCAAAACACCCTTCAGTGGGTACAGGAATTAGGTCCTCATTATTTTCTGTATTTTCCAGTGGTGATGCATATTGCTTAAGTTTCACTGATTTGTACAATGGGATTGAGTGCATGGTTAGGACATTTTTGGATGACACCGAGTTGGGTGGAGTTGCAGACACCATGGAGGATAGGGGTAGGATCCAGAATGACCTAGATAGACTGGAAAAATGGTTCACAATCGAATGAAAGTCAGCAAGGATAAATGGAAAGTCCTGCATTGAGGAAGGAATAATTATATGCACAAATGCAGGCTGGGAAATGACTGACTAGTCTGCAGGAGTGCAGAGAAGGGCCTGCGGGTTACAACAGACCATAAGCTGAATATGAGAAAACATCGTGCTCTTGTAAAGAAGGATGACAGCTTACTGGGTTGTATTAGCAGGAGTCACTTACAAATCAAGGGAAGTGGTTCTTTTGCTCTGTTCAGCACTGATGAAGCCTCACCTGGAGTACTGCATCCAATTTTAGGCCCTACAGTTGAAAGAGAATGTGGACAGATTGGGAAGTCCAGCACCGAGCAACACAAATTATTAAGGACCTGGTCAACAAGACTTATGATGGTAGGCTGAAAGAACCAGGATTATTTAGTTTGGAGAAGAGAAAACTGAGGGGGATTTGATAATAGACTTCAAACACCTGAAGGACAATTATGGAGAGAATGAAGATGAGCTTTTTGTGGCTGTAAGAGACAGGACTAGAAGCAATGACCTCAAGCTGTACGAGAGGAAATGTAGGTTGCAGATTAAAAGGAACTTTCTGACTATGAAGGTGTTCAAATATTGGAACAAGCTGGAGAAATGATGGAATCTCCATCGCTGGATATTTTCAAGAGCAGGTAGGACAGACACTTCGGAGGGATGGTTTAGTTAGGGATGATCCTACCTTGAGCAGGGGGCTGCACCAAATGACCTTGTGAGGTCCCTTTCAGCCCTACTTTCCTATGATCCTATGAAGTGAGGCCTGAGGCATTAAAACAGGCAGACATTTGGGAACCACGTCTTGCTTTGTCACCGAATTGAGGCTTTCAGTAAGGGTCAGGAGCTCTCTTCACAAAGGCAGTTAAATTGTGGGGATGATGGAAATGCTTTATGAGAGAGAGAAAAAAGCTGCTGCTGTTAGATGCAGGTGTTCTGTGCTCTCACTCCATCTCACAGATGTGGGACTGCAATCTTGTGGTTAGATCGTGGCAGATAGTCAGGGCAGACCTAGATTTTGTTTATGTCTCATGCCATGGAGTAACTCACTGTAAGTCAGTGGAGTTATAGGAGCTTTCCCCCATCCTAAATGAGGTTAGAGTATTGCCTCTGAATTCTAGTCTACACTTTGACCCTGACTCAAGGATCTTGTCAAAGTTGCTTAACCTCTCTTCACCAATATCCTTCTCTCTATAGAAGGACTAATACAACCTAACCTCTGAGGGGTGTAGAGACTTGTTTAATGTATGTTCCATGAAGTGAGATCATGAGGTGAAAACCACAATGGCAGTTCCATGTCACTCCTCCCCAAAACCCAGTGGGTATGAGCCAGCATCTCCTACACTATGTTTGCCTGTGGTTGGGGTCTCCCCACTTGACTGATGGGTGAGGAGATGGTGAAGGCTCTGAGCATTGACAAGAGACACTGGAGCCAGCTGACAGTTCTGAAACAGGCTGTGAGACTGGAAGAAGCACTCACTGAGCTGACAGCAATAGCTCCCTGCGGGTAATTACAGGCAACACAGAACCTGGCTGTGACCTCTCTGATCACCTAAACACGCCAGCAAATTTGGGGGAGTGGGAGTCATACTCTGCTCCTCTTCATATACCTAGGCCATTCTGCCTTCCTCCTGCTTGCAGTCTACCCCACAGATGTGCTGCAACCCCAAGACAGCAACTTCCACTGCATTTGGGGATGAAGAGAGCGAGAGAGAGAGAGTTTGAGCACGCTGTCCTCTTTGGGAGGCATTCTACTTGCAGTGGCAATCAAGACACTGCTTATTACCCCATTGGTCAGGCTGGTGCCCAGCCCTCAATAGTTTTAATTATCAGGCCATTTGCTGCTAAATGTGGATGTTTGAGCCTAGCCTTCAGTGCCCCACCTTTAAAAATACTGCTTAATTTTCAGCTCCTCAAATTAATAGATATTCTTGAAAATGCTGAAATTAGCTGCTCTGAGCCTACTACCTGTGCAAAGCAAATATAAAGTGCTACTATTCTAATCTGGTAGTGCATTGTTGCCTCTTTGCAACCTTAACTATGGACAGGTGAAGTGGAGATTCAAACCCAACATGTTTACAAGAATATAGGATTCATCAGAAGCATTGTGCTAAGTATGATATCAATTAATCGAAGGTTGATATCCCTGCTTGGCTGTATTTAACCTCCATGTAAAATGGGAAGGAGGTATTAATTAATTGTGTTCTGGTAGCAACTAAAATGTACCATGTGAGTTTATTAGAGGGATTAGATGATGTGGCTATTCCTAGTAACAAAGGGATTGAATTTGATGACCTTTGCACAAGTCCTAAAGATCCAGAGTAATTGAGACAAATCAGTCAAATCTTATGAGTTGCCTAACCATTGAATCTCTCTCTCCTTAGGTACATGCAACTCCCAGTGCATCATTGTGAGATTCATAAACAGCCCTTGTTAGTGTCTTTGTATACGTGTAATTACTATTAATGTGACATGTGACAATATGCAACTAGTATCCCCAAAGTCACAGTATAATCCAAAGGGACTTAAAGGTGCACCATAGACAATACCATGGCAAGGAAGTTTGGTGCCTGGGGCCAAGCCCACAGTGGTAGCCCACCCTTGCCCCACACAAAGATCCAGGGGACACACGCCCTCCCCCCCATGCTTGCCTGGGAGTGCATGCAGTGACAGGAGCCGCCCTCCCCCCATCCCCGTGCCCCCCAAAACGATCCACTCGTGACTCCGTCCCATGCCCTGCCCCAGCTGGGCAGCGCCTGTTGGCACCCCTTCATTTCAGCACCCAGGGCAGTCGCCCTGCTCGCCCCTCCTTACTACGGCACTGACCATAAACATTCACAGCATCCTCCCAGAGTACTGTATCAACAGCAGGTGACTGGTGGGCAGCTACATGGATTATCCCTGATAACAGGGAAGACCTTTTTACTGTTAACTAGTTTTTCAAAGTAATATTATCTTAATTCCTTTATTAATTGTGCATTTTCTTTCCCTTTACTACATGGTACCAGAATCAGAAGCACTGAGATGCTGCTTTTATCACCATTGGGTTGTCTTTTAGAAATGTCTGATTCCTATCTTCAGTATTAGATGTTGTTTGGAGAATCTACTGTTGTTTTTTACCTATGTGCAGTTTGTGATTTATTTTAAACTGTTCTGAGCCTTTTTGGATAGGGCGGAATATAAGTACTATTATTATTGTTGTTGTTTTTGTTGTTGTTAATAATAATTATTAGTAATGCTTTTGCAATCTCTGCCACTAAAATTTGCCAGGTTCCACTAAAACAGTATTTTCCATTCACATCACAAATAATCACAGATTTTGATTCTCAAGTTTCCACTGTAGGTGTTTGGTCATCTGACCACTTCAACCGTGAAAAAAAAAATCCCTACCATGCAAATGTGCATGTCTAAGTGATGGTGGAAATTTTGTTATAACTGACACTGCTTTTCTCCGTATGTCTCAAATTTGTTCCTTCCAGTTAGTGGCATAAAATAGACGATTAATTGTGGTTTTAAAATGACTAAATGTATAGTCTCCATTTTCTTTAAAATTCTTCCAAGCAGATGGTTCCCATCTCTCAAATGATTTTACAGCAATCCTGGGAAAGATAGGAAATGGGACACACATCCTTTTCCTTTCTCAACAGGTTTATGCAATGTGTAAGCTGCCACAGAGCAACAGTGAAAAAAACAGACAGCTTTCCACAAAAGGAGTCAAAAAGACCTGTGATCTCAATGATTTTCCTCTTTGCCGCCATTCACCCTCATTTTATGCATCTGTGCTTCAGACAACGCGCCAAGTATTTGGCTACATTAATTCTCCGTCACTTCATCTGCCAACCATTTTTCTTTTATTTGTCTGTCTCAATTAAACTTGTTCAATGGTGATATATTACAATCCAGAGTTTGATGCTTTCAGCTTGCAAAGGAGCTGAAAATATTAGGAACCCAACACGCAATTAAATTCAATGGAAGCTGGGCTCCCAATGTCAGTCTCCTTAGAAATTCCCCGCCTAAATGTCCTGAAAGAAAGAGGCTTTCTGTTTTTTTAAATTGTCTTACCTGAAATAGTTACTTGCGGCAGCAAGGACCACACGGTGGCAAGAGAATTCTATGCTGTCCACACGCAAGATTACATCTGTGAGAGAGTTTTCCAGCCGGAGGTTCTCCAGACCATTCTGAAGAACCATAGAGAGCCCAGTGTCATCAAACTTGACCTTTTCACCATTCGAGACTTCCACAAGGTCCCCCATCTTCCTGGAACAGTCATTGTCCAAAGAGACCAGAGGCTCTTCAGAACTTTTCTCTACCGTGTCACCCATGTTTTAACCAGCACCGTGTCATTCCGTTGGTGCTTCAGTCTAAAAGCTCCTAAGCTTCAGACGAGTCACACTACAGAAGTTAAGCGGATTTCCTGTCCAGGGCTCTCTGCTTATCTATAGCTGTCACACACATACAACAGGAAGCCTTGCACTTTCTCATCCTGTTAACACAAACAAAGGCTGGGGTTTTTTTCTTCCCTGTGAATTTCAAGTAATATCAGTGTGTTTAGAAAAGGACTCAAGATGCTTCTGGATGTGAGAAGATTACAAGTGACAGGGAAGGCCTCTTTCCCAAACTGAAATTGATCTGTCTTTACTATCCAGATCCACTTGTCCACAATGATAGGTGCACTGTATGGCTTAGCAATCCCTTAACCTAGCAGTGAAAGCAGCTAATAAAAGCTATTGTAAAGCAGCTTTTGTAAATTAAATCTCTTTTTCACATATGATTTTTAAAATGTTAATAACTGAGCTGACACCCAGAAGTTTTTTTAGTGTATTCTCACATATTCAGAAATATCTGTTGATTGATATTGCTGTCCCTTATTAGGTCACAGAAGTGTTTGGCATATGTTGGAAATAATTCCTTTTAAGTTTCTGTAGTGAAGAAGCATTTAACTAAATAGGATATTTATATATATATATATATATATATATCACACCTATATAAAAATATCCTGTTTAGTTTGGTAATTGTGACAAGGGGAAGATCATGTGGCCAATTGCAATGCTGGCCCACTCCTCTGTCTAAGGCAGTCTCTCCTGTCTCGCCTGTCATGACTTGCTGTTTAATAATACAAGATCAAATAAGCGGGAGTGTGGCAGTGCACTGTAGTGCCTGCCACTTTAAGGGCTGAGACAAGCAGCCAGCAGGGGCTTGATTGCGGCAGCCATTTTAGATCCTTGGCCGCCTAAATAGACTGAACAGTTCACTGCTGGCAGCCCAGGCAGTAACATCACTTGGCTGCAAGGCTGCTTGGAACATCCTGGAGATAAGGGAGGAGCTGTAGGGGATGGCTAGGAGGCTCCTGGTCCTGGTCCTGACCTAAAACTGCACCCTGCTGGGAGTGGGTGGCCTGGTGGGGCTCTCAGTGGTGCAGGAGCCCCCAGGAAATACCAGGCCAGGTACCACCCTGCTGCTAGGTGGGTCAGGGTGCCTTAACCCCTAGCCCCCACATCATTGTGGGTACAAGGGGGCCAGGCACAGCTATAGCCACCTGAGCCCAGGGAGGTTGTAAGACCCAGAAGGGGCCAGGCATGGCTACAGCCACCTGAGCCCCACCAGGGAGGAAAGCCCTGTAGCCCCAGTGAGGGGGTGGTGATGTGGAGCCCCAGTGAGGAGGCAGCACCAGTGAGGGGGCGGAGATGCAGAACTCCAGTGATGGGGTGGGTGTGGAGCCCCAGTGAGGGGGCAGCCCCAGTGAGGGGGCAGCCAGAGGGCTGGGAGCCCAGTGTGTGTGTGTGTGTGTGTGTGTGTGTGTGTGTGTGTGTGTGTGAGGAGTTGCCAGGTGACATGGGGCAGAATTAGCCCAGGGTTTGGCACAAGGCCAGACCACACAGAGTAGGGGAACTCACAGGAACTGAAGGGACTGCATGGCAAGACCACTATGTGAGTAGCAAAGCCTGGTGCCCCAGAGGGGTCACTTAAGCAGGAGCAGGGCAGTGGAGTATGGCCCAGTAACAGGAAGTATGCCAGAGGCCCCAGTTAGAGAGGGGCAGAGTGAAAGAGGCCTCCTGTGAGAAGGGAGGTGATATGAGTGTGCGTGGAGCCCAACTGTGGACTTGGTTTCCTCTGGTCTCAGGCCAGGAGTAATTATGTCACCTGGATGCTATCTGCGAGGCATGGGCCGTAGTGTAGGGGAGGAACGGAGCTGCAGATATCACCCCCCCGGCATTGGGGCAAGAATGGGAAGCCTCCTGCCTTAATAAGAACCAATTAAGAAACAACAAGGTATGGCAGCCGAGGAGGTGGGTGGTTGGCCCAGAACAGGTGGGCGGGCCAATGACGGATTGGCCTCAATGATCTTCCGAGGTCCCTTCCAGCCCTAATGTCTATGAAATCTATGAAGATTCGGCCTGATTTGGGGACCAATTTTCCAAATCAAATCAGGAGACCAATTAAAAGCTCCTAATCAATTCGAAGCATCCAAATTGATTCAGAAAAAGATTCGAAAATGATTCGGCCATAGACTAAAAAGCTGACACAGCTGCCTCCAGCTGGTAAGTCTGTTGGGGTTAGGTAAGGGGCGTGGGAGGGATTGGGGCTAGGACAAGCTGCCCAGCCAGGACGGGGGGTGTAGGACTCAGGGAGGGGGCAGGGAGGCATGGGACGCGGGTGCAGCAACACTGGGAGTAAGGACTCTACGCTGCTGCCACTTGCCTAGCCGGGGCAGGAGAGGGGAGGGGCAGGATGCAGGGGTGGCTCACTCCAGGTAGAAGGGGGCAAGCAGCAGCAGAGCATAGCCCCCGCTCCCAGAGCTGCCGTGTCCACATCCCACATTCTCCTGTGCCAGCTGGCAAGCAGCAGCAGCAGCACAGAGTCCCAGCACTGATGTGGGCGCAGCAGTGCTGGGAGCAGGGGCTCTGCCCTGCTACCCTCCTCCCCCAGTAACATGCTCCCCCTCCCTGGTTGGGCAGTATGTCCCAGCCCCAAATCCAATCCCTCCTTAGCTTTCCTTCTTTAATGTACAGTCAGACACTTCAGTTGAAGAGAATTAAATAAAACCTGAACAGTTGTGATATATAAATAAAAGGGTGTAGACAAGGAATTGGAGTCTAAGACTTTAATATGTCATTCTCAGCCAAGCTGACAAAAGTTGAGGAAGTTGGTTCACCCTTCTGTGCCTCAATTTCCCCATCTGTAATATGAGTCCAAAACTTGCCTGGAAAGAGCTTTTGCACTATTTTTATTTTACAAAATATTACATAGAATATATGCTCTCACACACTGAACGGTTCCATCCTGCTTCCCATTCAGTCTATAGTCACCTGCTGAGTCTTATTTTATACTGTGGTTGCACTGTAAGGTGAGCAGAAAACTGGCTGAAGCATCAGGCTTAGAGTATAGTAATCAATGGCTCAATGTCTAGTTGGCATCTGGTATCAAGTGGAATGCCTCAGGGGTCAGTCCTGGGACTGGTTTTGTTCAATATCTTCATCAATGACCTGAAAGATGAGATAGAGTGCACCCTCAGCAAGATTACAGATGACACCAAGCTGAGGGGAGTAGTAGATACACTGGAGAGTAGGGTTAGGATTTGGATAGACCTAGATAAATTGGAGGACTAGACCAAAAAAAATCTCATGAGGTTCAATAAGGACAAGTACAAAGTTCTGCAGTTAGGACAGAACAATTCCATGCACCAGTACAGTCTGGGGACTGACTGGCTGGGCAGCAGCTCTGCAGAAAAGGACCTGGGAGTTAGTGTCTATGAGCCAAGCATGTGCCCCTGGTTGCTAAGGCAGCTAACAGCATACTGGGTTGAATTGGTAGGCATGTTGCCAGCAGATCAAGCAAAATTATTATTCCTCTTTATTCAGCACTGATGAGACTAAATCTGGAGTATTGTGTTCAGTCCACTACAGAAAGGATGTGAACAAATTGAAGGGAGTGAAAATGGAGGGCAGTGAAAATGGTTAGGGGTTAAGCACATGACTTCTGAGGAGAGACTGAGGGAACTGGGCTTATTTAGTCTAGAGAAGAGAAGCGAAGACTAAAAGGGGATTTAATAACAGCTTTCAACTACCTGAAGGGTGATTCCGAAGAGGATGGAGCTAGACTGTTCATAGTCGTGGCAGATGACAGAACAAGGAGCAACAGTCTCAAGTTGCAGCAAGGGACGTGTAGGTTAGATATGAGGAAAAACTTCCTCACTATGTATATAGTAAAACACTGGAACAGGTTACCCAGAGAGGTTGTAGAACACGGATGGGCAGTTATTTCAGGCGGAGGGCCACTTACTGAGTTTTGGCAGACCATCAAGGGCCACATGACAGGCAGCCAGGGGCAGATAAATATTAATATTCTAAATTTTTAGGGGCCCCATGGGCTGGATAGAATGGCCTGGTGGGCCGCATCTGGCCCGCAGGCCGCATTTTGCCCGCCCCTGTTGTAGAATCTTCCTCCTTGGAGATTTTAAAACCTGGCTGGACAAAGCTGTGGCTAGGATAATAAGCTTTGGCGACAGTCCTGCTTTGAGCAGGGGGTTGGACTAGGTGACCTCCTGAGGTCCCTTCCTCTCCTAATTTTCTATGATTCTATGATTCATTAAAGGAAATGCTGAAAGAACCCAACTCCCCAAAAAGAAAATACTCACACTACCCTTTAGGTACTTAGAAATGCCAGGTTTTGTCCCCAGATAGAGCCTTTTCATATAGCAGATGGTGTGTGGTGAAAATGGAACTGGTGAAGATTCTTCTTCTTTTTTTATATGGCTGACTTGGAACAATAATTATAAATCCAGTTTAAGGTTAGTTAACCAGTCTAATGCTGTTGAGGAAAGAGAATGTATCTCTATAATATCACCATCAAATTTATATAGAGGGCAGAGTATTGTTATGTGATCCTGTAACCTCCTGTGATGTTCACTAGCATGCTTCACTCTTCTGGCCGTTTGGGCGCAGACGTCTCCTTTCGGGTCAACAACTTGTCTTCCAGGCAGATACCTCAAAAGGTCCCCAGGGATTCCCACCTGCCATGTCTTGTTGGCACTGGTTATTGTTGGTAGGATGTTTTTAAGTCCTGCCTCCCCTGGTTCCCTCCTTTGGCACTCTTGCTTCGCCTCCCATATCGGGGCTCCACCTCCCCTATACCCTGCATTGCAGCACCCAGAGATGTTGCTCCTTGGCCATGGCTGAGACAAAGTCCCCTCGCCACGGTAAGGGCTTAGCCCTTATATATTCACAGTCCAATTCAGACAGCATACCATGCTGGTTCAGGCCTCATGTCAGCTTGGCTTGGCTTCCTACTCGTCCCTGGATACCTTACTCCCAGGTGTGCTCCCTTTTCTCCCCA